ATTTTAAACTCGTTTTTTTTTGTTAAAAAGTTGATCGTAGTTTGAGTTGGATGTTAACATGCTAACTAAGATATGATCTCAGAATTTAAAACGATTATTAGAATTTTAAACTATTTTGTAACTTTTAATAGTCGGAGAACTTAAGAAAGTAATACTCTATAGTTGTGGGACTATTTGTGTACTTTACCCTTTTTGTTATTAGCTTTTATATTATTTATAAATTATAAATTTAGTTTTATATTTTAATTTATTAATTCAGATTTTTTATACCTCTTAATTTAAAATTTTAGTAATAATCCAACTAGATACAATATAATTAAATTAATGGATTAAAAATGATCAAAATTAATAATATGAACTAACATCTATAATTTATACGTAGTACAAAATAATAATAAAATTTGTTAAAAATAAATTTAAAGAATATCGTTTGAATGATTCTCAAAATTTAAAATTTTGAAAAGTATAAGGACTAGTGATTGATCTTGATAGTATATATAAGGACTAGTTATTGATCTTGATAGAATAGATTAATTTTTTAGTAAACTATACATTTAGTAACTTAATTATTAGTTTTGGTCCATTTTAATACATTAATTTTTGTTTTTTTTAAATCACGACTAACATTTAGTTTTCATTACATTTGAGTGCCCAATCATTAAAAACTTAGCACCTTTAGTATATAAACTATCAATTTTGGTCCGTTTTAGTACCTAAACTTTCAATTTTTTTTAAAAACTTAACGTTATTTTTTTATCATGAAACTAAAATGAAACAAAAACTAAAGTTTTAACGGTGATGTATTAAAATGAAATAAAAACTAAACTTTAGATATGGTTTTGAAAAAAATTAAAGTTTAGGTACTAAAACGGACTGAAACTAATAGTTTAGGTACTAATCTTGTAATTTACCCTTATTTTTTCAATTGAACTCTGATAATTTATTGAGGAAAAAAATCTAATTACACCTAATCACACATTTAACTCTTTTACCTAGCAATCAAAGTTCAAAGTTTGCTGAGCTGCTAACTTTTCCAAGTATTTTGTCTATTTTTTTATAATATCGGTATCTAATCTATTGATCGATTAATCCGGATAGGGTATTGCAGAGGTAAGAATGACCATTCAAACCCAGTTTGCTCAATTCACAATGGTCAAAATCCGAACCTCTAACCTTACTTAAGGGATCTAGTGTCTCATTCCACTAGAATAATCAGTTGTTGGTCAAGTATTTGTCTATTGGCTACGAAACAATCAATCATTTTTAAACTATGATAATTAAAAGGGTAAATTTATAAATAGTCCATTGACTATAGAGTGTTGCTTTATTGAGTCCCTCGACTATTAAAAGTTACAAAATGATCCCTCTACAATAGGACATTGCTTTTTTGAGTCATCGACTATTAAAAGTTATAAAATGGTCACCCGATCATTTATTGTGCTCCAAACTCATCATTTTTTCCATTAAAAAATTGATGGCGGTTTGAGTTGGACGTTAACCTGTTGACTGAGATATGATAGTCGTTTGAGATTCTAAGATCAAATTTTGTCATATTTCAGTCAGCAGGTTAACGTCCAACTCAAATTGACATAATTTTTTTAATGAAAAAGGACGAGTTTAGAATACAATGAATAGTCAAATAATCATTTTATAACTTTTAGTAGTCGAGGATTAAAAAACCAACATCCTATAATTGAATGATCATTTTATAACTTTTAATAATCAAGACACTTAATAAAACAACCTTCGATAGCCGGGGACCATTTGTGTACCTTAACCTAATTAAAATGATTGTTTGAACTTAGTTTAATAAACTGATATGAATTACTTTACTTTGGGTACATGAAGAAGAAAGTGGTTGAGAATTGCAGGCAGTTTCTGTTTGATGACAAATGGCCAGAAATGAGGTGATTTTTTGTTTTTATTTTTACTTTTCTAACACCGTTCGACCAATATTTCCAAAACTAGCACCCTTTCTGCTGAGTTGGCAAAGGCGCGTCCCCGGGGGCGCGCTTTACCCGGTTTTTCGCTGAGTTGGATGCCACGTGTGAAAGGCGCGTCCCCGGGGACGCGCCTTTGCCAACTCAGCAAACACGTATTTTGTTTTATAATAAATAGTTTATTTTTATTATTATTATAAATTAATAATATATTATGTAAAATGTTTCGATTATATTATGTAAAATGTTTCGATTATAATGTAAAAATTATAACTAATAATATTAAATATTATATTAAATAATATATTAAATATATTTATGTATTTAAAAGTTAAAAAAAATTATTTAGGTGTACATACATTGACAAATTATATAAATGCAATAACATTAAATTATTAGAAATAAAAACATTCATTTAAAAACTTTAATTACATAAGAGTTAACGGTTATATGATGATAACAGAGCTGGACATTTTTTTCTATTGTGCCCGATGTTTCTACAATGCCCACATCGTTTTTGTTCTGTTGACTTCTCCCGAATATCCATATCACAATGTATTCTAGTAGATTTTGGACGACCTGAGTCCCTCAATAGCAATGGATCTGGGACAATTGTAAGCCAAGTTTGAATCTCATTTGGGTCTCTTTCGTTTCCTATGGGCGGAAACTCAAATTCATATACCTTGAAAACTTGTGAAAGTTGGTATACGGGATCAACATAATTTTTGTAGTCCAAATGCGAATGTGAGCAAGCAGCAATGACATGAGAGCATGGATATTTGAGTGCTTGAAAGAAACCACAATCGCACCACCTCTCTTGCAGATTAACTCTGAAAGAGTTAGCTTCAATCCCTTGCAGCGGACGTGGCATTTCGGTTACACGAAACAATTCACGGGTGCGAGAAAAATTTGTAACTAACATCCCATTTGATGTAGCCATTTTTTTCTGTAAATCGGCTACTAGTCTTGGGTGGTAAATATGTCCGTTTTGCATCCAAGTAAGAGCTTGTCCACCGAGTTTTGCAAAGAGTTGACCCAAACGAAAATAAGTCGTTTTGACCAACGCCGTGACTGGTAAATGACGCGCCCCCTTTAAGGTTGAATTTATTGCTTCAGCCAAGTTTGTTGTCATATGACCATAGCGATACCCCCCGTCATATGCATTTGTCCACATTTCTTTGCTGATGTCCATAATGTACTCGCACCCCTTCTTATTTTTGCCAAACAGCTCTTGTAGCATCGACTCAAACCTTTGAGGTAAGAGTTCGTAACCTAAGTCATTAGGAATATGTAATAGTTAATATGAAGTATAAATAAGTAATAAGAAATTGATAGAAAAATTGGGAAAAAGTAACATACCCATCCGCACGACTAACTGACGTTCATATAGGGCAAAACGAAATAAGAAATTGATAAAAAATAATAACTATTTAAAAAAATACTAACATAAAAATAAATTTCTTACCACTAATAACAAATTTAAAACTCAAATAGTTGGAGAATTTGAGTTATATAAGAGAGGAGAAGATGATTTTGGTGTGAAGAATGAGTGAGAGTTGAGGGGGTTTATATAGGGGAGGAGGAGGGGTAGTTAGGAAAAACGGATGGGGGCATTAATGACATTTAATGGAAGGCGCGTCCCCGGGGATGCGCCTTCCACACGTGTCTGCTGATATGGCAAAGGCGCGTCCCCGGGGACGCGCCTTTCACACGTGGCATCCAACTCAGCGAAAACACGGGTAAAGCGCGCCCCCGGGGACGCGCCTTTGCCAACTCAGCAGAAAGGGTGCTAGTTTTGGAAATATTGGTCGAACGGTGTTAGAAAAGTAAAAATAAAAATAAACGGTGTCAGTGGGGTAAAAAAGCCCAGAAATGAATGCATCCTTTATGCCCGAAATCAGCTGACCTCCATTTAAGGCTTCCGCCAATATATTATTTTTTGGTAAATATCTATTAATTCAATTGTTTTTTTATTAATTTGAGGTAAATATAAGATAATATATGTTTAAAGATAAATTTTAATCTTTTGACATTAACGTTCATATCACTGACATTCTCGGTGTTCGAATCTAAATCCTCAAAGAATAACAACAATTTTTTTACTATGGATACCACTTAGTTCGTGCTAATTCAATTGTTAAATGTTCATCACTCATTTGCTCATATTATGATATAGTTTTATATTTAAATGATCACTTTTTTATTAATTTAGGGGTAAGTCTAAAGTATTATCAGTTTAAAGATAGTTCTTAATTACTTGATATTGAACGTTTATATCACAAATATTATTGATGTTCAAATCCGATACCTCAAGAAATAATAATAATCTCAATTAAAATAATTAGTCATTAAAATTTATATAAATTTGATGTCATAACTTATAATAAGTGTAAATGTATGCTAAGTTAGGGTAAAATATTTAAACCGTCACTGAAATTTACATAAGTTTCTCTTTTCACTATTAAATTCTTAAAAAATCATTAAATACTCACTAGCGTCTTAGATTTACAATAAAATGATCATTCAACCATTAACTTCTGTTACCTGAGTTGTGATAATTTTAAAATAAGATTTAATGATAATATATTTATAACATCAATTTGTTATATATTTAAACGTCACATTTGAAAATTATTTACTCTCTATTAGTTAAGGTTTTCAATTAGACTCTTTTGCTCACCAAAGTTTCTTAAAAATTTGTATATTTTGGACACAAATTTTCGAATTAGCTACAAAGCATAGACAAGATATCTAACATATCACCGTGATTTATAATGACAAAATTCAAGATCTGATGATTAAATCTATCTAATCTGCTAATCTATGAATAGCCACAATCATTTATACCTTACATCATCAAAGATCGTTATGTTATATACCACGACTCTCTATTTAAATTAAAAAGATAAATCGTGAATAATCGATAATAGACAACTTATTCTCATTAACACAACTATAACCTGAGTTAATAATAATATATCTATGACAAAGTTAACTAACGAGTTAAGACAGTGAATTGGGTTATTTAACGAGTTAACAGCAATTTTTAGACATTAAGGGCGAAACATATATTTTTTACAATTCAAAATATAAAAAAAGCATTAACCAGATAAATAAATAAATAAATAAATATATTTTTACAATTTGTACATAATAAGAAAGCAAGGCAACACCGCACGTGGATCAAACACAAGCAGCTCGCCGTTGTCCCCACTCACCGAGTCATACCCAGCTCGCCCATCCATCAACGATTCGTACCCGAACCCCATCCGCTTCGACACTCGACCAGCAATAACCCGGCAAACCAACATCGCCCTCCTCCCCCTCCCACGTCCCGCGCTCCCGTGCGCCCCGCCGCTCCCGGCGTGCGTGCAAACTGCCGCATCCTTCCAGCCGGGAAACACCCACGCGTCGTTCATCCCGCAGTCCCCCGAAGTGGTACCCAAACAACGGAAGCGCATGACCTCGTTCCCGTCTGCCACGCACCTCGTGTCCTCCTCTTCACCCGAACCCGACCCGGACCGATCCTTGACGGTCTCCCGGTACTCCTCGAACCGCGTCACCGTCCTCGGACAACTCTGAACCTTGAAAACCTTCTCGACGCGACCAGTGAAAGCATCGGGACTCCAACTCGTATGGAAGATAATCTCCACGACATTCCTCGAAGGATCACCCTCGGGTAACTCGGTCAGCGTTCGGGTAGAGCTTCTCCGGCGAGGCCGCGGCGGAGGATTACTTAAACCGGGTCCGGGTCTGATAACGTCTTTGATGGTCTGAGAACGCGATCTACAGCTGGAAGTGGATATCAAACGCTTGGGGTTTGGGTGATGAACATCTTCAAATGCTCTGGATTTACATTGCAAAGATTTGATCCACCCGCTTGCCATAATCACTCTCTTTTTCTTCTAAATTTGCGTTTTCGAATTGGTTTTATGGGGAGCTTTCATGAATGAAAAGGAACGGACATAGCGGATATACCCTATAATTTGGAGATTATTTATAATCACTCGCTTGACATAAATAGTCGATGACTTACAATTATTATAGGAGATTATTTATAATCACTCGCTTGACATAAATAGTCGATGACTTACAATTCTATGATGAAGAATTATTTTATAACTTTTAATAGTTAACGAACTTAATAAAGAAATACTTTATAGTTTGGAGACTATTTATGTTCTTTACCCTATATACAAATGGTCAGTGACAGATGTAAGACTTGTCTAGTATGGACAAGTGTATATCTTGAAATTCAAATAGTCAACCGACTAGCCCGTGAAACACTTTCCTCCTACAAATGCCATATACTAACAAAATTAAGGCTTGTTGTTAGCAGTAATTATCAATAATCTCAGAATATCGTTTTCTAATATTCTTCACCAGCCAGCTCAAACAGTTCGATCAACATTTAAAAAACAACCGACTAGCCCTGTTGAACACACTATAAAACCCAGTACTTTTAACTCTAAGCAAGCCAACTGCAACTAGGGTTTTTGAGATGGCTTCAAAGAGATCAGCTTCCATGGCCTCTTTTTAGCACTCAACATTCTCTTCTTTTCCCTCGGCAGTGCTTGAACGAGGCAGATGCCCCTGCCGCAAGGCCGACTTTGGGTATTTTTTGATCCGGGGTAAAATAAAAGAAATAGACTCCTATTTATGTGATATTAACATGCATAGCTTAAATATTACTATAGAAAATATTATGGGCCCCGGGCGGGTGTCCCTCCTGCCCCTGCCCAAGGATACCCTTAAGTTAGGTGTGTGTGCTAATGTGCTTAACTTGGTCAATGTCGTCATCGGTTCACCCCCGGTGAAGCCATGCTGTTCCCTCATCCAAGGCCTCGCCGACCTCGAAGCCGCCGTCTGCCTTTGCACCGCACTCAGAGCTAACGTCTTGGGCCTCAACCTTAACATCCCGATTTCCCTTAGCTTGCTTCTCAACGTTTGCTCAAGGAATGTTCCAAAGGGCTTTCAATGCTAAACCGCCACTCTTCATCTTTCTTTTGGTTTTTGAAATTTATGGTTCCCACTATTTCCAATAAAACAGTGTTTTTGTTTGTAACTTTTGTTGTCTCTATTACCAGTCTTGACCTTTATTATTTGAAATAAGTTAACGGAAGATCTGTCAATTAAGGCTTCACGTTATATGTAATGAATGTATTAATGTTATTATTTGAATTATTCACTGGACCTGAAAATAAGGCTCGAATAACTTCACCTGCCAACTCGTTTTCGGACACACCTTCTACAACAAAAATCACCGTCCCTCTTGAGTGGGAGAATTGAAGACTATAGAGAAACAAAGGTTTGGGTTTTCCCACCACTTCTTCAAATTATCCCGAAGGATTTTACCTCTCCTTCAAATGCAACATAGAAGCAAAAATTGAAAAACATTAGACAACCTTACTTTAGGAGGAATTTTCAAGTCGGATTGAGTTGGGTTCGGGTCTCATTTCAAAAAAAATTTGATCGGGTACCTAAACTTGAATCGGGCCAGATTTCGAGTGGAGAGTTCATTTTGGGGGTTCAGGTTAACTAAAAACTCGATCCAACCCATATCCATCCCTAGATTCAATGGTAGGTTCTAAGCTGGCCCGTGACAGACCAATCGAATCCAGCAAGAAACATGAAGGTTTGAGGAGCTAGCCTTCCAAGAGAGATTAATTATATCATTTTGAATCTGCAATCCTTTCTGCCTGTTCTTGGCGGTTTTTAAGTTGTAGCTATTTTGGAAGAACATGGTACAGTGGGGATATTTATTTAAATTAAGGCAAGAAAAGTTAAAAACATTACAATCCAATCACTTTTGTCCAAAAATTAGTTTGGTAATGCACCTGGTAAAGGATAATACATCCACACCCAATTGGGGTATTACATATTTTAAATAATATTTACAATTTGAATCTTGATATTGTGAATTAAATAAATTAAATTTAAAAGTTATTTCCGTCATAAAATATTTTAATATATAATTTGTATTAATCGATCAATCGGTTGAATATAGGTAATTATATAGTTTGTAAACATAAGAAAGATCCAAATGATCATGCAGGAGAGTGATAACATGGCAATGTACCACAAACATCAAAACTGCAACAGCCTGCCCTAAATGGGAAAAAGCAAAATCAAATCGATATACCCTACAATTTGATTAGTTACCCTAAAAAAAGCAACTAGACCTCTCGAAAACACTATAAAACCCCTCTGCCTTCACCCCAAATTCACCATCCTCGAACACTTGTACTTTTAACCCTAAGCCAAGCAAGCAAGCCACTAGGGTTTTCAAAAAAAGAATCAAAATGGCTTCAAAAAGATCAGCTTCCCTTGCCCTTTTTTCACACTCAACATCCTCTTGTTTTCCCTAGGCAGTGCTACTAATCCCTGAACTCCCACCAACTCTAACCCGATACCGAGAACCCGACCCCATCCGCATGAGGCAGATGCCCCAGGGATGCCCTTAAACTAGGTTTGTGTGCTAAAATGCTTACCTTGGTCAATGCCACAGTCGGTGCACCCCCGGTGCATCCATGTTGTTCCCTCCTCCAAGGCCTCGTTGACCTCGAAACCGCCGTCTGCCTGTGCACCGCTATCACGGCTAACATCTTAGGCATCAACCTTAACATCCCGATTTCCCTTAGCTTGCTCCTCAACGTTTGCTCAAGGGATGTTCCTATGGGCTTCCAATGCTAAATCGCCACTCTTCACCATCTTCGTCTTCCTTGTGGTTTTTTTAAAAGTTTATGGTTTCAAGCATTTCCAGTGAATCGATGTTTTTGTTTGTAACTTTGTTGTTTCCATTTCCAGTGTATTACTTTCCTTCTGGTGTTCTCTTCGGATTCTTTATCTCATAAAAAGACTTGTATTATTATTGTTATTTTTTTGGATAAATGTATTTATATTTATTCGAAGAGCAGCATGCCACTACAAAATACATATACATCTCAACAAAAGAACAACCCCTTTATAGTGTAAATCCTATACCACCCCGAGTTATACAAAGATTAAGAAGATATTTGAGTGATGAATGATGTAATTTACTCATTAAATAAGAAAGTGCCGTTAAGTTTTTAACGGCGAGATACTAAATTGAAATAAAAACTAAACGTTACATATAATTTTCAAAAAGTTAAAAAATTGGATATTAAAACAAATCAAAACTGATAGTTTAATTATTAAATACATAATTTACCCTTTGATTGATCATATTATAATTGACCATTTAGCCTAGTGAGCTCATTTTATAAAATGAGCTCCGACTTTTACATTAATAATTTTCAAAACAAAAAATAAAATATGAACATATTGAGTAGTCGATGTGATAAAAGAAAAAAATATTTTCTTTAAAAATTTATATTTTATTAATTATATTTATAAGATATGTATTTATTATCTTAGACTAAAATAATTTTAAATAAATATTAACCTGTGATCGTCTTTCGATCATTCTCATGTGCTGGAATCACAAATGCCAAAAGGGAACAAGACAAAAGATTTTTCTTCACCTTTATCAAAATTGTCGAAAGATTTTCCTCCACCTTTATCAAAATGTCAAAAAGGGAATAAGGCAAAAGTGAAATCAACATAAAATATATTATATATAAAAAACAAAATTTATCATGATTTTATTCCATTTAGTTTCATATCATAGAATTTTAGGTAGGGGTGTTCATTCGGTTAAAACGGTGGTCGACCGAATTGAACTACCCTTAATCGAATTAATCGAACTTTTTTTTTCTTTAACCGTTAACCGAATCAAACTTTTTTTCAAACATATTAACCGAACCGAATTAATTTCGGTTAATTTTCGAATTAACCGATTTTTTTTTTAATTTTCTAATTTATATAAAAATTAAATGTTTTTAATTCAAAAAAAGTTTATAATTAATTTAAATAATATATAATTATAAAATAAAAATTTCAGATAAATTTTTAATTAATTAATATTGATTTAGATTTAAAAGTTATTGAATCTTAAATTATTAATTGAGTTTTAAATTGTTTGGGCTTATCCCAAATGTTATATATAATATATTTAATATTTTTTAATTAAAAAAACAGTTTACAATTAATTTAAATAATATATAATTATAAAATAAAAAATTTATATAATTTTTTTAATTAATTAATATTGATTTAGGTTTAAAAGTTATTGAATCTTAAATTATTAATTGGGTTTTAAATGGTTTAGGCTGAGCCCATATGTTATATATAATATATTTAATATTTAAAATTTAATTTCGGTTAATTCGGTTAATTAACCGAATTCGAACCGAATTAACCGTTAACCGAATTCTAAAAATTTTCTTAACAGTTAACCGACCAAACTAATTCGGTAACCGAACCGAATTAACTTAGTTAATTTGGTTCGGTCGGTTAACCAAATTAGTTCGGTTATTTGAACACCCCTAATTTTAGGTATACTTTACTGAAAAATTATTTTTCGTCTCTCGTAAAATTGTATAAGTTCAAGTTCGTTCATCCTAGAATTTTATAAAATCAAGTTCACTTCCTAATATAAAATCATGCGTCCCTACCTGCTTGATATGTGAAAATAAAAATAATATACGGGAAAAATAAAAATCATTAAAAATACTAACAACAAATTATTAGCTAATAATAACTAAATATTTGGTTTAAATTAAGCTAATTAGAGCTGCGTTCAAGTACCACGAGACTCGATTTTAGTTAGTGAGCCTTATTGATTTCTTTAATATGAATTAGAGTAAAGTACTTAAATTGTCCATCAACTATAGGATGCTACTTTATTAAGTCTCTGGACTAATAAAAATTACAAAATTATCACATAACTATTTATTATATTCCAAACTCATCATTTTTCGTTAAAAAATTGAAGGTATTCTGAGCCTAACGTTAACATGTTGACTGTGATATGATAAAGTTTGATCCCATAATCTCGAATGATTATCATATCAGAATCATCATGTTAACGTCCAACTTAGATAATCTTCAAATTTTCAACGAAAAATGATGAGTTTGAAACATATTAAATAATTGAATAACCATTTTTTTGTAATTTTTAATAGTCTAAAGACTTAATAAAAAAACATTCTATAGTCAGAGTATTATCTTGTAACTTTTAATCGTCTAAGGACTTAACAAAACAACATTCTACAGTAAGCGTATTATCTTGTAACTTTATCCTATTAATTAACATGTAAAAATGATCAATTACACGTGAATAAGAATCGTTAATCTCGTGAATCCAGTGGTCGGTTCAAAGCTCGCCCGTGACACACCAGTCCAATCCAGCTAGACAACTTCCATCGGCTACATGCCAAGATTTCAAGACATACAAACCCCACGTACAAACAAAATTAGGGTTTGCATGCAGCAATTATCGACCATCTCATAATACTATTACAATATTAAGGAACCATCTCAAAATGGTCTGTTTCTATTACATGGTGATTTCTCATATGCTTCAGATTCCATACACTCTGTAACATCAAAGATGCCTTTTGTTTTTTAGGGGGAAAATAGAATATTTAATATACTTTTAGGGAGATAATGAAGGAAGAATGATGAAAATAAAATGGTAGTTCTCCTATACAACAGTTTAATTTAAGGTTAAAAAATGGTAGAAAATTAACGCGTCCGAAAATATTATAAATAAGGTTTTTAACCTAAAAATATTAAGAAAAATTTAACATCTTAGGTTGCGTCCAACCTAAAATATTACAATTTTTATAACATTTTCGGTTGTGCTTTTCCTTAGCCTTAAATTAAATTGTCTTTCCTTACACTCTCTCAAAATAACAAGAATACAAGAGAATTACAATTATGCACAAATTTCAAAGTTCAGTACACAAACTTCTAATCATAATCGAGTTAATCTCGAGTATCTATTTATATAGAGATGACTATTTGATTATAAAAAAAAAGTGTACAGTAAAAATTCTATTTTTCTCTTAGTTTTATTTATTCATCAAATATTGGAGCCTACCATAAACTTTTTAAATAAAAAAATTCAAATATCCAAAAATTGATCCTATAGGGGAGTGGTAACATGGAAATATGCTAGCTTCTACCTCAGAATTCACAAACATCCAAACTTCACTAGCCAGCCCAAATTGCCATAAAAATCAAATAGATTTATTCTACAACTTGGTCATTTAACCTAACATTAAAAACAACAACCCTAAACCCTCTTGAAAACACTATAAAATCCCTATCGCTTAACCCCAAAATCCCCCATCCTCAACACTTGCATTTTTAACCCTAAGCCAAGCAAGCAAGCCAATAGGGTTTTCAAAAAAATCAAAATGGCTTCAAAAGGATCAGCTTCCATTGCCCTCTTTTTCACACTCAACATCCTCTTCTTCTCCCTAGGCAGAGCTTGTTACACCTGCCCTCCCACCATCCCTAACCCGAGGCCAAACCCGAGGCCAAACCCGAACCCAACTCCCACTCCATCTGCACAAGGAAGATGCCCCAGGGATGCCCTTAAACTAGGTGTGTGCGCTAATGTGCTTAACTTGGTCAATGCCACCATCGGTACACCCCCGGTGCGGCCATGTTGTTCCCTTCTCCAAGGCCTCGTCGACCTCGAAGCCGCCGTTTGCCTGTGCACTGCTATCAGAGCTAACATACTAGGCATCAACCTTAACATCCCAATCTCCCTGAGCTTGCTTCTCAACGTCTGCTCGAAGAATGTTCCCACGGGCTTCCAATGCTAAACCGACTCTTTTCGTCGTCATTGTCGTTCTTACAGTTTCCAGTATTTCCAGTAAATCAGTGTTGCCGTCGGTAACTTTTGTTGTTTTTCATTTCCTGTGGAGATTGATACTGAATAAGTCTGATACTCTTCTTCAAGTGCTTTTCTTAGGGCTTTTTGTATCTCTAAGGGACATGACAAGACTTGTATTATTCACCTTGTTTTATTTCCTTATTGTTTCTATGTCGACTAATTAATGAAATTTGTATTTGATTCTAAATTAATTGAGTTTGAATTAACAAATTTACTTATGTACTTGAATTTATTACGAATTTTATTATAAAATTCCATGATAATTATCAATTTATTTGTTCTTTTATATTTTTACTATTCTAAGTTATATATTTACCATTAATATTTATTTATATTTACAATTAATAAAAACAGCACAAATAAAACACATTTGAGAGACCAACAATCTTCAATCGGTCTAGTGGGATGAGACATAGATTCCTTAAGTAAGATTAGATGTTCGAATATTGGATATTACGAATAGAGTAAATTGGAATGAGAGGACTACCCTTGTCTCTGCAATATCCAATCTAAATTAATCGATTAATAGATCATATATCGATGGTTATAATAAAAAAAAACACTTGCAAGTATAGTTTTCTGTCCGTGACTGAGAATTTGTTGAGGAATATCTAAGCATTGTCACGTGGAAAACTTTAAAAAGATTAAAAAGAAAACTCATCTTACTGCACAAAAAGACAGATTCTTTGGAGTTGCTTAACAATTTTCATATGATTATCCGTATTTAATTAATTAATTAATTTATATTGAATATTATATATATATTTATTGAGTATATAATTAATTTAGATTGATATGAATTAAGTAAGATCTCGGTATTGAACATCATGTATACAAGAATATGAGTTTTTATTGTCAAAGGATTTAGAGTTTTTTTAAATTAATCACTGGTATTCGATCTATTGACCGATTAATCCAGATCGGGTATTGTAGAGGCGATGGTGACCCTCCCAACCCAGTTTGCTCCATTCGCAAACGTCAGGATTCGAACCCCTAACTTTGCTTAAGAGACCTAGTGCCTCATCCCACTAGACCAACTGATTGTTGGTTACTTTATTCTGGACAAGGGACAAATGATTTAGAGTTTTTAAATATACACCATCTTATATTCATTCCAGATTTATAAAAAAAAAATTATTAAAAATTATAAAAAAATAATTATATTTTAATCTATTGTCCACTTGGCTCCAATTCAAACCCGTGAACCATTCTTGTTTTTTTAAATAACTAATAATAATTGCAATTTTTTTTTACTTTATTCTGGACAAGGGATGCATGGGATTATAATGTAACCAAATTGCAAATACAAAATCTAAATAACTTTAATCATTAATCAAGATCATGTATGTTTCAGATCATGCATGAAAATTTAATAAATATATATATATTATTAAATTTTAAGATAATATTATTTTATTAAGATGATTAATGGGATATTTTCTAATTATTTAAATTTATGAAAGAAGAGTAACTTTTGTTTTTGTAATAGACCTAATTTATCGCTTCCGCCTCAATCGAATTTTCGCATCAATTTAGCCATCGAAGTTACTCAATTGCATCATTTTACACCCTATCTCCAGTGGTGGAACATAAGTAGGGCTAGTGGGGGACATGACCCCCTAAAATTTTAAAAATTATAGTTTAGACTCTTAAATTTAAAAAAAATTAATTTGGTCCCCAAAATTTAAAAAAATTCAAATTCAAATTTTAAATTTTGGTAATATTCTTAATTAAATCCTTTCCCATAATTTAAAATTTTCTTATTAAGCCTCTCAAAATTTCAAAAATTTTAGTAAGACCCTAATATTTTTGAAAAAAACTGTAAACTAAACCCTTCAAATTTTTTTAAAAAAAATTTAAACTTCTAAATTTTTTAAAGTTTTAAGTTGGCCCCCAAACTTTATGGCCCCCAAACTTTATATTCAAATTCCACCGCTACCTACCTCTAACTTAAAATCTTAAATTATAAACCCTAAACCATAACCCATAACATCTAACCCATACATTCTAAACCCTAAAACTAACTTAGAGTTTATAATTTAGGGGTTTAAGATGGTATTCGGGTCAGTGCCTTATGCTATGCTTAGTTAGTTCTGTTTTGGAGGCCTGCTGGGTTGATTGGCTGTTTGTAGGCTTGCCGACTATTTTTCTGTTATTAGCTTCTTATACTGCTGGTTGTTCTGTTGTTGTGAAGTGTTTTATTCTTTTGTAGGTTATTGCATAGCTAGGCATGATGAGAGCTTACGGTTGTTTGTATCCCAATCTTGGAGTACTCTTTTCCCGCATCTAGGTCTAGGGTTTTTTTTAATGAGGCTCTTGATTGGGGTGATCTTATTTCTCAGTTATAATAAAATTACATGTTGCGAGCAAAAAAACAATTAGGGGTTTAAATTAGAGGTAAAGTATAAAATGATACAATTAAACAACTTTGAGTGCCAAATTGATACGAAAAGCAAAAATAATGAATTGGGTCTATTACAAGAACAAAAGTGACCCTTAACCTTATATTTATTATATAGCCTTAAGTATATAGTGGACCAAGGTGCGACGACTTATCTTAATTACATAGTCTTTCGTTTTTGGTGCTTTGTATAATTTCCCTGATTGCATGGCAATTGTTTGAATTCTGTAACAATAAAATTATCATTTTTATTTTCAAAATAAAAAAAATCAATATATGTGATTTTAATTTCATCAAAATAATATAATTCAATTGATTAATAATATATAGAAAGGGTCAAATTTGCAATAAAATCTTTATATTTTTTAATTTATTGCAAAACACATATTTTGTAATTTTCAACTTTAATCCCTTCTTCAACTTGCTTTCTACATCATATAAACACAGATATAGATTTGAATCACAAGATTTTGTAAAACCTCACATTGCTTTTCCAGTTGGCTTGACAAAAATGTAACAACAATTCAAGAATGTGGACCAAAAAGTTATATAAAAAAATCAACAATCAACAATCAGTTAAGGGTGATATTCAATCGAATTAAGTCGATAAAATTTTTGAATTAATCAAGTTTACAAGTTCGAATTCAATATTGTGTTAGAAGTTTCCTGTTAAAATAAAGGGTAGAGTACAAATCCCTGACTATGGAATATTACTTTATTAATTTCATCGACTATTAAAAGTTATAAAATGGTCACCTGACTATTTATCATGTCCCAAACTCGTCTTTTTTCGTTAAAAAAATGACGGTTGTCTAAGTTGAACATTAACATGATGACTGAGATAGGATAGTAATTTGAGATTCTGAGATCAGAGTTTATCATATCACAGTCAGTAGGTTAACGTTCAACACAAAATATCGTCAATTTTTAACAAAAAAAAACGAGGTTAGAATATAATAAATATTTGGGTGACCATTTTGTAACGTTTAATAATCGAGGTACTCAATAAAATAATACTCTATAGCTTGAGACCATTTACTTAACCCTAAAACCCTAAAATAAATTCCCTGATTGAGCAAATAAGGTGTTTATTTTTAGAATGTTGAACTGAAATTAAGGAACACAAATTAAGGATTAAAAGGCGAGAAGCCTTCTTTCCTACCAGCAAAACAAGTACATAAGTAACCGGCAGGCAGTTTCTTCCCACAGGTGTTGAGCAGAAGGGACAATGAAACGGGAACATTGAGGTTAATCCCCAACACATTGGCCTTGATCGAAGTGCAAAGGCAAACAGCGGCATCGAGATCGGCCAAACCCGAGATGAGATGGCAGCATTTGGTCGTCGATGAGCTTCCGACGACAACGTGCACTAGTCCCCCCAACAAATCAGCACATAAGCCCAGTTTGAGTGTGTCTTTAGGGCAAGTGGCTGGACTTTTAGGCCCCGAGGGAGGGCCCTTGGGGCTCTTGGGCGGTGGCGGGCATGGCGCGTAGGTCGAGTTCACCAGGGCGAAGAACAACAAATTCAGGGCAACCAGAAGCGCGGCCGATGTGACGTAATTAAGGGACCGGTTATGGCCATGGGCACGTTGTGAGAGAAAATACCCCATGTGGGCACGTTGGGTTGGGGTACAACCTGGCAGACGACATGCAAGGATAAGCCTGAAAAAAATGATGAAAAACTATGGATTCTTTCAATTATTCACCTTCACGAAGTTCAAAGATACGAAAAAAAATATGATATCTCATGGACTTTTTTGGTTATTTTTGTTCGAGTAATAAACTCAATTTATCAATTTTGATCATATCATTTTTTTTCAATTTAGTTATTGAAGTCTATTTTAACTAATATAACTGTTAGTCTTTCGTGTTTATTAACACCAGTAATTTCCAGATCAACCAATATTACCGGCGTGGCTTGATGATGACGCGACATGTATTAAAAAATAAATAATAAAATATTTACTAAATACAACGGTTAGAAAAAATCTTCAAAAATTTGATTCGATCTCTTAATCTCACTTAAATAAATAATAAAATTGTGAGAATTTTTTTTAATCATTTTGCTTAATAAATATTTTAACTTAATCCTTTAACCAACAGACGCAGAAGACTCATAGTTATGTTAGTCAAAATAGTCAACAAACTTCAAGGGCTACGATAAATGCCCTAAACAACTTCGAAGACTAAATCGATGCAAAAGAACAATAGGAATGAAATTGATAAATTAGGTTTATTACAGCAGGAAAGTGACTCTTAAGCCTTTTGTTTTCTTGTATACTAGTTGATATGATACTTGTAACATCATAATTTGTACATCAGATTAATGGTTATTAAATTGAAATAATTTTTCTCATAACGAATTTCTACATTATTCTATCTAAATTAGTTAGTCAATAAATCAAAACACGGATGTATTACTATATAAGTATATAAATACAACAAGATCAAAGAGATGATTGTGGAACCAAAATGAATGAATGAAAAGGACAAGTCGAAATAAGCACATACATGTGAGTGCTGATGAGGTAGCTTTGTCTCTTAGCTTTCATGGTGAACTGGAAAAGCCAGAACAATGGATGGCGATTCGCAGATGTTCGAGAAAGGAGAAGAATTAAGCACATGGGCCATAATAATTACTTCCATCAATTCTTAGTACTTCTACTGTTCATCAAGCTTTGATCAAATTGATGAAGATTTTTTTCTATTAGCCAGATTCATACTCTATTCGTTTTCTTTAGAGTTTTCTGGTTTTCTTCTTTTCGTATTTTCCCGGAAAATTCAAACTGAAGCATATAAGAAAGAAACATTTAATGGAACAAAGAAGCTTCCTTTCAATATTAATGAATACTGCTCACAAACCCTAAATTTGTTGGTATATGGCATTTTTCGGAGCAAAGTCTTGAGATCTTGGCATGTTTTTTTTATTAGCAATGGAATTCCATATATTAAAGAGAAAACCGAATTAGCTCGAGCCTTGTTAAAAACCTTCGTAGGCCTAAATAGAGGAAAAAAGTACTTGAGTTAGACCCAACATTAAAAATTTTCTAGCTGGATTTGACGGGTGATCACTTTAGTCATCGAATTTCTAAACATTACAAATAATATTAAATTTATCAAATTGTTATAAAATAATCACGGTGACATTATAATAAGTGTAAATTTTTAATAAATTTAATGATCATTTCACAAGAGTTTAATAAAATTTAATATTTTTAAAAAATAATGATTATTTCATATTAAAAAAAAATCAGCATCCAAAACAATTATCTGAGCATAGTTAAGTAATCTATGATGTAATTTATCCTTTTCTTTTTTCACGTACGTTTATGGATAACGTAAAGCTTACTGCCATGCATGCTTTTCACCTTTTCATATTGGTATAATTGCAACCAGTTTATGCTTGTGTTCCTCGTACGCAGCCACATCCTCCGCCGTAGCGCCGCCCAAACCCACCACGCCACGGAGGTGCTTCCAAGTAGGGTTTCAAATCGCGATCGCGGTCGTATTTTCGGTTATTTCGGATTTACCGTGATTGCGACCGTCGCGAACGCTATTGCGGCTGTCGCGGATAACTCGCGGCGAAACCGCTATATCGTGGCCAAAATCGAGGTCGCGGACCGTTTTTTAAAACCCTGCTTGAGCCACCATTATTGAATGATAACTGAGTTGGCCACTAATGGTTTATTAGTTTGCACTTGAAGTATACTTAATTAAGGTGTAAAAATATTGATCCACGTGGCTTGCTCACATTTTGCATGTTGAGAGAAAAATACAAACATAAAAATATAAATAAGCATGCATCATATTACTAAATCGATAAAGGAACAACAAGGAAATAATACAAGTCTTTTTCATGTCCCTTAGAGATACACAAATCTCTAAGAAAAAGACATACTTGAAGAATGCATCAATTCTTATTAGAAAACTGAAATAACAAAGTTTCCAAAAGAAAACACTAATTTATTGGGAATAGATGAAACCCTAAATTTCAAAAATCATAAGGAAGATGAAGGTGGTGAAGAGTGCCGATTTAGCATTGGAAGCCCGTAGGAACGTTTCTTGAGCAAACGTTGAGAAGCAAGCTAAGGGAAACCGGGATGTTAAGGTTGAGGCCCAAGACGTTCGCTCTCAGCGCGGTGCAAAGGCAGACAACGGCCTCGAGGTCGGCGAGGCCTTGGATAAGGGAACAGCATGGCTGCACCGGGGGTGAACCGACTACCACATTGACCAAGTTAAGCACGTTAGCACACACACCTAATTTAAGGGCATCCCTGGGGCATATGCCTCGTGCAGCTGGAGTAGGGGTGGGGTTCGGGTTCGGTCTCGGTCTCGGGTTAGGGTTAGGGTTGGTGGAAGGGCAGGAGTTGCAAGCATTGCTGAGGGAAAAGAAGAGAACGTTGAGTGCCAAAAACAGGGCCATGGAAGCTGATCTTTTTGAAGTAATCTCAAAACCCTAGTTGGCTTGCTTTATTGTCTTAGAGTTAAAAGCAGGAGTGTTAATCTGAGGATGATGAATTTGGAGTGAAGGTAGAGGGGGTTTTATAGTGTCTTCGATAGGGCTAGTTGGTTTTTTTAAAGGGTAATATACTTATTTAGTACTTAAACTATTAATTTTGGTCTATTTTATTACCTAAACTTTCAAAATAAATTAAATTTTTTGTTTCATTTTAGTACCCATCATTAAAAACTTAATGCGTTCAATTTTAGTTCGTTTTAATACCTAAACTTTTAAAATAAATTCAAAACTTAATGTTAAATTTTGAACAGATGTACTAAAATGAAATAAAAACTAAACTTTAAATATAGTAAAAAATGAAAGTTTAGGTACTAAAACAAACAAAAAATGATAATTTAAGTACTAAATACGTAATTTACCCTTTTTTAAAATGTTAATAAACTGTAGGGTCATCACTTTGAGCTGGCCGGTGAAGGATATGAGAAAGCAACATTCCATGAGTTTGGCTGGTGAAGTTTGGACGTTTGTGATTTTGAGGTGCAAATTATAACACATTGCCATGTTCCCATTACTCTTACCGGTACTGACGTAGGATTCTATGTTAGAAGGAGTGAACTTGAACTTTCAAAATTTCAGTGAGAGCGAACTTGAATTCCAGGAGCGAAAATATATTTTCAATAGACAATACATAAAAAAAATCTAAAATATATAGTAATTTTAAAATTTCAAGGGGTGACTTTCCCCACCCGTCTCTCTCAGTCTATCCTTATAGTCTTGTAAGATCAATCTATAGACCCTTTTTTATGATCTTTATTAATCTATGATGTGAACTTTACATATTTGTGGAGCTAGCAGCCCAATATTGACGCAAATCAAAGGAATTGCTAGGAAAATGGTTTGCCAAAAATTTCTACAGCAGCCAGGGGAATCTAAATCTTCCTTTCTTGTGAGGAGCAACACAAAGTAAATGCCGATTTAAACGAAAATTTTTTATTCCTTTGAAAATGATTCACCGGAAATGCTGACTCGCACACCAAGTTGAACGTTGATAACAAGAGCTTTGATTTAGACCATTACCATACATTACACCACTCCCCCAAAACAAATCAGCACATGCAGACAGCAGACGCCCAGTTTGAGTGTGCATGTGTAGGGCAAGTGGCTGGCTTTTTAGGTCCCGTCTCGAGGGCATGGCGCGTAGGTCGTCGTTCGAGTTCACCGAGGTGAAGAACAACAGGTTCAGGGCCACAAGAAGTGCAGCCGATGCGACGGTGTTCAAGGTCGTGTTTTACGGGCAAATGAAGGACTGGTTAGCCATGGGGATGAAAGTGCCCCATGTGGGCACCTTCTGGCAGACCACACAACATGCAGGGATAAGATAACCCTAAAAAACTGATGAAAAACTACGGATTTATCTATGTTGTCAATTATTAGCAAGTACATATGCAAGTGAAAGTCCATTTACCAATAAAAGGGCTAACCATGATGGGCTTTGGTCCCATTCCATTTTGTTTATGCAATTGCCTTGCATTTGTGTATCCCACATTGGGCAATCGCCCATTGTTTTGGGTAATATCAAGACTCCATAGCTGAATACCAATTTTACCGAAGGGAAGAAGAAAAATGGCAGGAAGATTGAGCAATGTAGCGCCAAGGATCATGCACCGGAACGGCATCGTTTCAGAGATCAGAAGAAAAATGGCAGGAAGATTGAGCAATGTAGCCCGATGATCTTGGTTATTGGTTATGTATTCATCATCAACTCTTCCGGTTTCAACAACTTCTTCAACTCTCATACATAATTTGCAATAAATTTGATCCTACATTTAACGGTTCAATAATATTTATATCATCGTCTTCTTATCTTTGTTGTTTCGCACGACACATGTATGCCAACAAAGCTGCGGGTGTAGAAACTAGCGGTAAATGAATAAAGCGTCGTAGATGGTTTGGAAACTGTTCATTTATGTTTGTTTGTTAGACTAAATAAATGAACATGAATAAAAAAATTTATGTTCATTTAATAAACAAACAAACACAGATATATACTTGTTCGGTTCGTTTATGTTCATGAATAAGCTCGTTTATCGACTCGTTCATTTATGTTCATGAACATTAAACAAACATGTTCGCGAACAATAAATAAATGAATACGAACACTTTCAAAAATAAATAAACAAACACGAACCAAATACGAACCCCTTTAAAAATAAACAAATGAACATAAACATAACCTTATTAGTTCAAACTCGATTCATTTACACCCTATAACAACGATGGTTATTAGTTCATATTAGTTCACGGAGTCTTAAGATTGGGGTCTGGATATTCTCAACTCCTCCGTTCATATAATTTTTTTAAATAATATATTATGTACTAACATGTATCAAATTATCGACTGCTTTTGTTGTACGTAAAAAATCTCTTTATTTTTTAATTTTTAAACTAAATCATTCATTTATATCTGAACATTGTTGAATAATGGGCAAGATAATGGCCTAATGATTATGTACAAATTGAACCCCCTAAAAGGACAGTGAAGCTAACTAAATTAGTGGGAGCATTATAAGCTCTAAGCAGCTACGGTCATGGATTATACTGCCAGAGTACATTTCATATTTACAATCACAAGAAACACCAATATCATAGCCCCCCCCCCCCCCCAATCCACCACCAAAAATTATATTACAAGTATAGACATTTTCATGCTTCATTCAGATGATGATGTTTAGGTCAAGTGATTAGGGTTCATCAACTTCACTCCACAGACCAAAAGTAACACAAAAAAACTGGCTACGTACCAGCAATAAACAAATAGGAAGTGAAGGATGAACGGGTTCTTATTTTATTTTTCGGATGAGTCTGAGCTTGTTATCGTCCCTTCACCTTTAATGGAAGCCGGGGGAAGTTTGCTTCTTCTACTCATCTTTTTCACATCCTGGCTTGAACAAATAAATATTCTTCTTACCATGTTGCAAAACTCCCTGCACGAATACAAGACCAAAGTCGATAAACGTCTGAATTCTAGAACAAATAATCATATATATGTGGAAGTCTCGAGGCATTATCGGGCTACTTACAGCCATGGATCATCGCCTACAAGCATCATATCCCCTTCATCATCAGTGTAGACAATCTCCCACTTATTCCTAGGGCGAAGCTCTCCCTTAATGTCAAACATCTCCTCTAGTTCATTTATTAGCTGATCGTAGCCCTCGAACATGGCCAAGTCCACAGCACGACCTACAGCAATTCCCTGCATCTGAACCTGTTCATATACACAGACGCCAAAGAAAGATCACTGGAAATTCTTCGAAGTAAATAATTCCAAGTGGAGAAATTAATGTTTGCAAGAATATTTCATTTTCAATACCTTTGTACAACTTCTTGTAAAGCTAGAGCAACTTTGCCTGCTCTGGATCTCTTTTGCTGATAACCGTTGCCGTTCCTGCTTCTCTTTAGAATCTTTTGAAAGGTTGGACTTCTGATCTGAATCAGTAAAGGATAGGGTGCTTGGGTCAAGTCGTTCAGCTAAAACCGTAGTCATAGTAGAAAGTTGTGCAGATGTCCTCTCCAATGGCGTTGAGCTTGCAGAATGGTCTATCAGCTCAATACCAAATAATCGGCAACTAGCAGTTGTCTCTGATCTGTTTAACTTTTCAATTGGATCAAAGGTTGAATTCTGGTTGAGCTGTGGATTTGAAAAACCTGGAGGAATAGGCCAATCAGATAATCTCGTTTTATCTTCTCTTGCATCAGGAAACAGATGATGGGAAACGCTCATGCCAGGAGAAGATAGCCAACTTCCTTCATTTGGAGTCTTGGTAACAGAGCTGCAACTACTGCTCATCTCTGTCTGCATTCGGTGCCACATGACAGGATTTTCATTTGCTTTTGCTTCAGCAGGAATGTTTTGTGGCGTTAGATCAATGGAATGCACAACTCCAGAATTCCAAGGAGATGATGCTTTTGAAGATATATCTATATTATTCAAATAAAATGGGATGAGTTGGTTATAAAAAATAGAAGCAAAACAGAACAAGGAAAGCACGTCTTCACCTATGACAGGAATTTCAGCAGGTGGTCGAGGCCTTTTGTTCTTAGCTGCAACCGGTTGAGCCAGAGATGGTGGAACATGAGCAGCAAAGGGTTCTATCTCCCATGGTGAAACCCTGTCAGGTCTTGGAATAGAGGCAGGTTCATCCCATTGTACCTGTTGACAAATTGGTAATTATAGCCCTCAGCCTTTCCCCAGTCTCTTATGATAATGGCCATAGCGGCCCAAGAACAACTGCTCCTAAACTGCCAAAATAATTTTAATTTGGAGTTGAAGAAAGCATGTAAGAAGTTACCTTCAGTGATCTCCATTTTGAATCTTTCCAGTGAGGAGAAAAATCTTCAACCCCAACGATTGTGCCAGCAAACCTTATCAATCAAGATAGGTTGAGTACGAATTTACATAAGAGATCAAATAATCATCAATTCAAAGCAATCATGTGGTTAAGTTCCACTACCTTCTCTCAGGAGAATCCTCCTCTTCAAACCTCATCTTAAATCTAACGCCAACAGTAAACTTATTTTTAACAGCCTCCAAATATTTGTTCAACCCAATGATGAACCTACTCGTCCTGATATTTTACATGAGAAAATTTAAGAACATGTATCATTTTTACCTCAAATTTTGACAAATCAGCAAATATCAAACCTCGGCTTATAGTAGACAACAAAGAGGGTTTGTGTTGAAACTGCATGAGATGCAGTTGCAAGCACTCCAACATGCATGCTCTGACTTGAAATCACTGATGATGGCATGATGCTATGTTGCCGAACAGCACGCCTCACTCCAACACGTAGCTCGTCCTTTTCCCCTCTAGATAAACCAAGTGTTAAAAAAATAGCCCATTAACTACACGAGAATGAACAAAACCACCAAAGACCGGAACATGTTCAAGGTGCAAAAACACAAACAAGTAAAAAAAACGAAAAATGATCTACCTCAAAAAGACGAAAGAATCACCAGCTACTAATCTCTTTGAAGTTACAAACGTACTCCATCCTGTTGTGAGCAAATGCCTCCTTGGTTGGCCTGCTCATTTAATCAGATACACATAAATAATGTGCCACTTGATGAGTGCTGGAGGTGTCTTTTACACCAGGAGTACGAAAATCAGGTGATTATATTACCTCTGAAAATATGCTTAAAACGCCATTCATAGCCATGAAGATCCTTAGCAACCAACTCCTGGGTTGGGGTTGCCTCGTTCATGTCCTTAAAGATATCCATGTATAGAAATCAGCAAAAAGGGTATTCACAACAACAAAAGATTAAAAAAGGCCAAAAGACAGCAGGATCTTGAAACTAGTACAAGTTTAGGAAGGCATTCAGTGGCATGTTTGCGAAGAACAGAAAACCCTCCATGGGTGCTTGTATCTGAGGCAGTTAACACCTTGCTGAATGAATGGACAGTAGGTCCTTGAGACTCAGGAGGGCAAGGATCAGGGGTTGTTGGCTCGGATTGCTATAGATGAGAAAAAAGAAGGAAATCACTAATTTCAAGTGCAATTCAAATCTAAAAAATACACAATTCAGCAAGTAAGAAAATTGGTTCTTACATTTGGATCCGGCAACAAAGTTACTTGTGCATAAACTTCATCAGTTTCTTTTTCAGCCTACATACAGAACAGATCCATTAACTTATGCCCAAATCAATCATGTTGGCACGATAATATTACTGTCCACCTAGCCTACATCTCTTACAATCTATCAAAATAGTAATAGGATCCCAATAATTACTGGAGTTCATTTTTCTCATATCTATTTTCTCAGGAAACAAACAGCACAAGTAAAAATCATAGTTGCTAATATTACCAGCAACCGAATGTGAACGACACGGCAAAGAATCTTTGATGGAAGGTTAAACATCGGAATCCTCTGATTGAACTCCTGATTCGTGGACGCTTCCAACTAAAACAATCCCCCACCAAAAATAGCAGTATTTCAATCAACAAATCAAATAAGAAACCAATCATTTCCATAAAAAAATTAAGGAGAATTTAAAATAAAAATATGAAAGTGAAAAGTGAAAAGAGATTTACCTGTTCCATATGTCCTTGAGGAAAATAATACACTGTCTCGTTAGCTCGAGGAACCTCAACCAGTGGTCCGGCACATAACTTCCATAACTCCGTGTACAGATCATCGCCTCCATTTCCTATCAATCAAAAGAAAATAAAAAAAGTTACAACGATTTTCCAGGAAAAAGGCAAACAAAATTAAAAGAAGCTGCGGATTTGTGTTTTCGTTTTACCTTCAGGTGAGACATTATTTGTCTGCGAAAACGACTCTCCCAGATTCGCCGTCATTGAACTCTCTCTAACTCTCCAAGTCAACAACAAGCAGCAGCGAATTTCAAAAACCTCCAAAGTCCCAACCGATCTGATCCTTCACTTAATATATAGTATCGTATACACTTAAACAATCTAATTAACACGATTCGACTGCTTGACTCTTCAAAACTTCACTTCTAATTCACTTGCCTCCGCCTCTTCGTAACACCATAACAATCGCCAGATCCAAACAAACACCGTAATCTAAAACCGCTTTCACCGTCACGATACCGCCTTGCTTCACCTCGCGAAACCACTTTCAGCTGAGGAAACGCCGTTGCAACAGAATCCCAGAAAATCGCTTCGCGCGTGTCTTATATTCCGTGAATGTTGTCTGCCTTTAACTATGATTCTTTCGCCTGTTTCTTTCCTTATTTATGTCTTTATTTGGTCTTCTCTTATTAAGCATTGTCTTATGGCTAACTTAACTAACTCTGGTTCAGGATTTAACCGGGGAACGGAGGAATGTGTTAAACATGACGGACCATTTTGGCGGCAAACGGTGGTGGACTAATGCCGTTTCTCAACTGCATTTCACTGTAGGATGAGCATTCAATCGAATTGAGTCTAATTAGAAAAGTTTTAATTATTCGAATTGATGAATTCTATTTTATAATTTGAAGTTAATTTAAAAAAATTCGAATCGAATTGAATTTTCGAGTTTTTATTTAAATTTAATAGTAAATATTTATAATATTTTTGATATTATTTGATTTCAATTTAATTAATCTTTTATAATCCTATTCAATACATTTTTTTTACGTGTGACATACATATATTATATAAATTTGAGAGATTCGACTCAAACTTAAAATTTAATTTACTAATTATTAAAAAATTTAAGTTATTTGAGTTAAATTTAAAATTTTTTAAAATCAAGTTAAAAAGATTAATTTTTCGAATCTAGTCAAATTTTGTTCATTCCATAAATAAATGAATGGGTTATTGGCCGGTGCACGCTATTAAGAAGCGCGTGGTTCGGGGTTAACGGAGAGGTGTTAGGTGGGATCCCGCCGTTTATTGCCGTCTCTTTCGTTGTCTGCTTCGAAACAGGCAACAGGATTGGCTCCATTTAACCTAGCAGAAATTTTTCTTGGTGAAGTAAACTAGAGGTCCCTAAACTAAGAAAAAATGATTTTTTTTGGATAATTAAAATTTTTTATTACCCAAAATCAACCGGTACAACATTAAGATACAAAGAAACGGAGCGAAATAAGCAGTGATCATCCAACACAAAAACAAAGATCACCCTATATTCCAATTCCTAGAAAGAGTAATATTAACATTGTCATTACAATTGAATTTCCTATTGCTTAAGTGCAGTCCAATTATATCTCTGATTGTATGGAATAATTCTTGAGCATTCTTGGATCTACCTTGGAACATTCGCTTGTTTCTTTCATCTTATAGTAAGTAAATAGTAGCATTAAAAGATAACTTCAGAATAAGAGTGAGCATTGATTTACCTTTCCAAGCATTGGAAGCCCTTGCACAAAAAACGTCCCACGGGCAAGGGAAGAAGTAAAGTCCCGAGAGAGAAAAAACATTTTTCCAGATTAAATTAGCCATAGGACAGAGCAGAAAAATATGGTCCCTAGTTTCCAAAGGCTCATCACAGAAAATACATTTGCAGTCAGTGATTAGGCCCATACGGTTTAGTCTTTCTCTTGTAGGAAGCCTATCAAGCAAAGCCATCCAAGAGATTAAACTATGCTTAGGAATGTGCATAGGAAACCAGACAATTTTCTGCCAAGGAACAATAGTTTTCTTGACTCTAATGGCATCCCAAACTGCTGTAATTGTTGTATTTCCAGCGTCCAGAACAGGACGAGCTTCTTGTCTTAATTTTAGGAGTTTCCTTAAGCCCCAACTTTGCGATGAACGGATGTCAACATTCCAAAAGTCTTTATCCTTAAAAATAGATCATTTGATCCATGCTACCCAAAGAGAACCCTCACCTGCAAGATTTTTTTTTAATGAGAAGGAGCATATAAGCTTTATTCCAAGTCTTTAAATCTTTGATTCCAAGACCTCCCTCTGATTTGAGGTAACAAATATTATTCCAGCTCACACGAGCACCATAAGCTTTTTGATCAGCTCCTTTCCAGAAGAACCTAGAGCATAATTGCTCGATTTTTTTAATCACTGGCTGAGGTAGAAAAATTTGTCTAGACCAGAAATTGGAAAGACTGGATAAAACAATTTTAATAAGTTCCATTCTCCCTGCATAGCTAAGGAATTTAGAAGACCATTAGCTTTCATTTTTTTCAATGAGGGGAAAGCAGTCCTTATCAGAAATTTTTCTAGTGACTAGAGGAATACCCAAATATCTTACAGGCAGGCTGCCATTTTTAAAACCAGTAGACAGATTGATTTCTTCCAGTTTCGTAGCAGTCATGCCAGCAGCAAATAGCTCACATTTGGATGCATTAAGTTTCAGACCAGACATTTTATAGAACATGTCAAGGACACTATTAACACTAATAATAGATTCAGTGTTCCCCTTGCAAAAAATAAGAATGTCATCAGCAAATGAGAGATGAGTGAGTCCTATTTTTTTGAATTTGGGGTGATACCCAAAGATTCCTCTAGTGGCAGCTAAGTTTAAGAGCTTGGAGAGAACATTCATAGAAAGCACGAATAACAAAGGAGAAAGTGGGTCTCCTTGCCTAATTCCTTTAGCTCCTCTAAAGAAACCAACTAATGTCCCATTAAAGGAGACAGAGTAAGAAGCAGTTGAGTAGCAAAGTTCAATCCAAGTGATGAAGGTTTGAGGCAGTCCAATGGCTTTGAGAACAGAAGAAATGAAGTCCCAATTAAGGGTATCAAAGGCTTTATGAAGATCAACTTTCAATGAGCATCTAGGGGAAATAGTCTTCCTACCATAACCTCTAACCAATTCTTGAGCAAGTAATGTATTATCAATAATATTTCTATCTTTAATGAAAGCAGTTTGGTTGAGAGTAACCAAATCAGGAAGAACATTGGTTAATCTACTGACCAGAATTTTAGAGATTGCCTTGTACACAACTGAGCAGCAGGAAATAGGTCTGAAGTCCTTAACTTTACAAGGGTTAGGAATCTTAGGAACAAGAACAATAGATGTGACATTAAAAGCTGGAAGAAGGAACAGATCTTGAAAGAAAAAATTAATGGCAGCAATAACATCAAAACTAATGATGGACCATCAGAATTTAAAGAAATAAGGCGTATAGCCATCCGGGCCAGGAGATTTGTCGTTTCCTTGAGAAAAGAAAGCTTTCTTGATTTCATCCTCAAAGATTGTTTTAACAAGATCTTTAGAGTTATCCTCAGTCAGAGTAAAGTTCAATAATTCTTTCAACAGAACAGGGTCAGTACTATTCACTTCAGAATCAACAAAACCAACTAAGTTGCAGAAGTAGTTAGAGACCTTAGTTGACATGGAATCAAATGTTTCCAATTTATTGCCTTGGTCATCAATCAGAATACGAATGGTGTCTCTCTTGTACTTGAGAGCCACAGCTAAGTGGAAAAATTTTGTGCACATATCTCCCTCCTTTAGCCATTGAATCTTTGCCTTTTGTCTTAGAAACAAATTCTCAGCATCTTCAAGCTGCTTTAGCTCAGTTTGCAATTGAATTTCCTTAAGGAAATTATCCTCTCCATTTAAAGTTTTAATCTGTTGGAGTTCGAGTTCAGATTTCTTATGTAAGACTCTGTTTCTTAAATCACTGTAGTTGGAACGGTTGAACTCTTTAAGATTAACTTTCAAACGTTTCAATTTCGGAAAAAAAAAAGGATTTGCATAGGATTACCAGAAGAAGGGCTGCTCCAAGACTGTTGAACAACTCTCATGAAATCAGGATGACTCGGCCAAAAATTGAAGAACTTAAAAGGCTTTGGCCTATTAGCTTGAACATCTTTAGAAAGTCATACCAAAGCTAAGCAATGGTCAGAGATGCCAGGAGCAAGGAATTCAACATGAGAAGTTAAGAAAGAGTTAACCCAAAAAGAGTTGGCTAGAATCATTAAATCTATCAAACTATTACAAAATGATTACTATAATGACTTACAAATGATTGACTCTTTTTTCTCTACTTCGTTTAATAAATTTAGATTTAGACTCGCTGGAGTCGTATATTAAATATTATCTCTAAAGATGTTTTACGAAAGTCGTATTCGCTATAATTCAACAAATACTTTTACTGAGACAGAACAAACATGATAAAAAGATAAATATTAGATAAATAAAAAATATTCAATAAAGACTCAAATAGTCAAAACATAAAATCTGAAATCGATTCGCAGAAAATAAAGTTTATTCCTATAGAAAAATAAGGAACCATTTAGGTAATAAAAAAGTGTGTATTGAGAAACAGCTAAGGTTATGTATATTGGCCTTAAACATGATTATGCATTTCTCAAGCTTAACTTTAATCCCTGTCTTAATTATTAATACTTGTGGTAATAAAATTATTATAATATGAGGGGGTGTACTTTGTGACCCTTTCTCCCTTCCAAGAGTTGATATTCTCTCTTGTTATATATATATATATACTATGTTCTGTCTGCTGCTGGATTCCAACACTTTATAATTTGTATTAAGAAACCTGTAATGGAAGATTATGACAATTCAATTAACATGGTTGAGCACTCGATGTCATACAAACTTCCATAAATTATGTCTTTGATCCATCATACATATACATGTTTTATTCAATAAAAAATAAATATATTGGTTTGTAATATTATAATCTTTTACCAGTACTAAGATTCTTTTTATCATTTGGGGGGTAAAATATAATTTTTACCAATTACTACTACCTTTCAAGAGTTCAAATGTGAGATATCCTTATAATTTTTTAATATAGTGAACCATAGCTCATATATTATAAAAATATTGAAAAAACTTAATTGATTTCATTTTTAATAACGTATAATCAAAGTTCCATAACAACCCTGAACGACCCACCTATGTTAGGGCATTGTTGGGTGTGAGCTAACATAAGATAAACAATGACAACAACACAACATTATACATCGAAATAAATAGCAACAACTAAGTTACCTCGATAGTTAAAGTCGTGGTTGTTGTCTTTAGAGGTATTAGGTTCGAATACCAACGTCTGCAGACAGAGATGTTTGAACGTGTTCATTGTCAAATGATTTAGAATCCCTAAAATGAATACTACCATGTAATCACCTCAGTTTAATAAAAAAAATTGATTTTGATTCAATTATATGTAGGGATTGAAATAGGTCGAGTCGGGTTTTTGATCGATCCGAACTTGATTTGAGTATTCTATCTATCCACTCACCGCTCAACCTGACTAGAC